AACTATCGCTGTCAATGCTGTATCACCGGCGTGGCGTGAGCCTCCAAAGGCGGGAGAGATCTTTGAGGACATTGTCGAGTGTCAGCGTCGTCTCCGAGCCTTCTCCTTAACCGAAGGATTTGCTGTTGTTAAGGGTGGTGGCGGTAATAAAGCTCATCCTAGTCAGTCCTTTTTGTGTAACTTTCATGGTTCTAAAACAAAAAACTAGCGCAATTTAAAGGATAGAATTGAGAGAGACATAAAGGGCAAGTGTCACGTGTCACGTTGGAAGCAGGCGACGAGTGCGCGAGATCTTCAGCCCATGTTGAGTGCTATCCTAAGACTGCAGAGCCGACGAGGATGGCACTAAGCTATAGTCGTACACAGATATTATATAATAAAGCGCTATAAAGCCTTTTGCTAAGCTTATTATTAAGAAACCTTAACTAGGTAATTAAATAATTACAGAAACTACAAAAATAGTTATATAATTTATAAGTAATTAAGAAAAGGACAGAATTAATAAACTGTCTATAAAAGAAATTATAAAGATAGTTAATAAGGAATAAGATAATTTAAAGGGAAAAGAATGCGTTATAATAATATGAAAGATGCTAAATAAAGAAATTACTCTTTATACAAATAATATAAAGTCTTATATAAGACTTCAAAACAATATAATCTAAATAAAAGCCTTAGGCCTTTATGCTTAAGTAAAGATTAGAATATATAAAGTAGTAAGAAATCACTAATAAAATAAAATAAGAAAACATAAGAATATTTCTAATACTAAAGATTATATGCCTAAGATAATTAAGAAGAACCTTTATAAAAGGCAAGTATAATTATGTAATCTTAAAGTTAATACGCTTAAAGATAACTAATAAGGTCATCTAAAAAGAACTGATTTATAATATAAAGTTTAAATTAATTATACAATATAATAAGAAACTACAGATTTATTAATATTACTAATACTAGGGCTTTAGATACCCTACTACTTACTATTAAAGAGAGTAAACCTGTAGACATTATATAAGAAACTATAGAATAAGGATATGTCTTAAAAAGATAGATCAGAAGGCTATATAATATAGCCTCTGCTCTAAAGGCTACAAGGCATGATTACTAATGTGTCTAACTTAAGAAAAGAAATAAGTAAAGATAAGATTTAACTATTAAGATAAGGCTTAGAGATTTATATATATAGCTATAAATAAAGAACCTCTTCCTCCCCTTCCTTAATCTTTTACTCCCTTATTATAGACCTTTACTCTTACCCTCTTTACCTTATCTCTCTCTCCTTCTTCCCTTTTCCCTAATAATAGTCAATTATAGTTGCTTATATAATAAGAACTAGACAAGTTAGACAGAGAATAAACTTAAGTTAAAGGAACATATAAGAGAAAAATGGCCTAAGGCCGACTTATTAGCTCTAGAAACAAGCCTAAAAGAGACTCTATATAAAGTTATAAGATCGGAAGAGCGTCGTTAGAATACTTATATTAATCCTAAACTCTTAAGATTCTACAATATAATATTAATAAGTCTTATAACAAAATACTTATAAGCCTTTTACAAGACTCTAAAGTAACATTATATAACATTATAGTAGCTCAAGAACTATAAAGAAACCTATATAACACTATATTATATAATTTTAACTAGAGCCTATTTTACATAAGTAATTAATAATATATAGACTTAAGAGTAAATATATATATTAATAAGAGGATTTATATAAATAAGTAGTTAGAAACATATTACTTAAAAGATCTTATAATTATTATATTATAAGTTTAATCTGAATTAATAAATCCGAATACAAATTCTATACAAATAATTAATATTTATAATATATATTATTACTAAATTACTTACTCTAAAATACAAGAGACTAAGACGCTCTGTATACTAAGAGAAGCTCTTTAAATAATAAGAGAATATATAATTATAAAGGACTTTAATCTTTATTACTCTAGCTAGAGCAGCTCCTTTTATCTAATATAATATAGAATAAGAGACTACTTTAAAAGAAACTTATATAAATAGATAACTATTAATCTAATCTTTGCAATTATAATACTAAAATAATAACTAGTATAATGCAGAGTAAAACTAAAGATAAAATAAGTATTAAATTATTTCTTAATTTATATAAAGTTTAAATAAGGTAATACAAATCTATTAATTAAGCTATCCCTAAAAAGAGCGTAAAAGAATCTTAATACTAAGAAATTCTGCAAACTTCTAAATCTTTATACAGAGGATATAAACTAATACCCCTTAATATTATAAAAAATAATTAATTAATTTATAGATAAATTAATAAAAGTCATCTTAAAAGTTATAAATAACTTAATTCTTTAGTTAAGACTAAATTAATAAAGTAAAAGCTACTAGATAAAAGATTATTAAATAATAATAAAAATAACTATAAATTATATAAAGATAATTTATATTATAGCTACTATGCTTATCGCCTGCTAGTACTAGGGCGCCGAGTATTAATTAGCACTAGACGTTAGTAAGAGACATGCTTATTATATAGAAGCGACCCTAGGGCCCTTATTATTGACTCTTCAGTCTTAGGATAGCACTTAACATAAGCTAAAGATCTTGCGTACTTGTTATCTGCTTCTAACGTGACACATAATATTATCCTAAGACTACTCTTTAACTAGAAACGATCATTAAACTATCAACTGCAAGAGATCTGTATCTCTAGACCCGTCGCCAGCTCATTCTGGGTTAGTGTTAACATTCAAGGTCAGACTCGAGTTTAAAGCAAGCCTCTCTGACACCCTCTGTGCCCCTGACAAGGTTAAAGAAGACAAGGAGATTCGGACCTCTAAATTCAAATAAGCAGGATCCTTGTACTTAGCAAGTAAAAGAATAGGGCGCCTTATACGTATATATATAATGACTCTGTGGTCAAGGCAGAGTATAAACATAAGGTCGATATACTTTAGAGCTGTCAGATAGCTGCCCTATTTAAAGGGGCTACTAACCTTTTCCTTATCTTAATAATTATAACACCCTCTCAGGTCCTGTCACATTTCTCCCCTGACTTACGCAATACTCTATTAGAGCTGAGCTACGCATTAATAATAGTAACATCTACTAGCGACTAGTTACTAATACATAAGAACACAGAGGCAGCTGCCTAGTTTGATACAGCTGTCTTTGACCTATCTAGTCCGGCCAGGACTGATAACCTTACCCCTAATACTGAGACTGATTATTAAAACCCTATTTTATCCTTCGACCTCTCTGATCCCCTTGCCAAAGTAGCTCAGCTAAGAGTGATTGTACTAGCTAATCTTTAATCTAATATCAACGTTATTCTAGCTGAGCTGCAGTAATAAGGAGTGCAAGAACGAAGCTACCTTGATGTAAAAGGAAGCTAAGACGCAAAAGAGAACTCAGACATTATTAGATCTGATAAGGATAAAAGTAGCTACTATAAAGAACATTAAGAGCCTTAACGTTACAGCAGAAGTTGTTAGAGAGAACCAGGAGAGCCTAACCTTAATAGAGGCATATTAGTTGGCTATAACAAAATTAGGCAAGGATAACCTATATACATGCTTGCTTTACTAAATCTACTTATAAATAACTATAGCACACCTAAATTAGGCAAAAACATATACTTTAGTAGCTAGGCTATATTAGTGGCCTTATTAGAATAGCGATATAATACGTTATATTACTAATTGCTATAAATGCTGTTAATCTTACAAGCTATATAATAAGACACCTAGCCTTTTATATTCTTTACTTATCCCTCTTGCCCGCTACCTCGGACGGTTGTTGATTTTTCGAGCAGAAGCGGAGGAAATTCAAGCGAGTGGCCGATCGCGGAAGTTTCATGATCACTACATCCAACAATGGCGGTGTCTCGCCCATAGTCTATAGAGAGCAGCATGATGCCCGTTGTGTACCTTTTATAAATATATATAGTAATTTAAAGAATACTTAAAGACTATTATTAGCAATAAGGGACCGCAGTTTATTAGCGCCTTTCTTAATAAGCTATCTTATCTTTGTTATATTAAGCTTAAGTTATTAATATTAGCTTACCTTTAGACAGATAGCTAGACAGAAATTATTAATTAGATTATTAATATAAGGCTTTAACTATTTATAAACTACTTCTAAAATAATTAGACTTATCTTTTATTAGTACTAGATACTACAGGGTTAGCTTTAGTTCACGAATCTATAGGATTAACACCTTACATAATTAAGTATAACTAAGAATCCTGTCTAAATTTCGACTAGACACAAATAAGTAATAGCTTATACCAAAATGCGCAAGAAAGAGTTACTTAAGAGCAGGCAAGGAAGCACTTATGTTATATTAATAAGGTAGTAAGCTAGGCTAGAATAAATATAACCTTAGCTTAAGCTCAGCATGCTTATTAAGCTAACAAGAAACATCGCTCGCCTAATTTCTAATCAGGAGACCTTATATTTATTATTAAGAAGCCGTGGAAAACAGATAAGCCCTTAGACAAGCTAGACTATTCTGTTACAGGCCCCTTTTATATCTTAGAGATAGTTGGTTACTCTTACAAGCTAGAGCTTCTGTCCTCTTATTGTATCTTGCTAGTGCTATACGCAGACTAGCTACGTAAGGCAGATAACAATCCTCTCCCTAGCCAGATCCTTACTCTACCTCTTATAGTTGAAGTTGATAAAGACCTTGAGTAAGAAGTTAAGAGAATTCTGTCGTCAAGAATTAGCAGAGGTCAGCTGGAATACAAGATATAATGGCAAGGATAGGACCCTGACGATACATGATACCCTGCTAGCAACCTGTAGAACACTCCTCTAGCGTTACAAGCTTACTATAACGCGCACCTACAGGAAGCTGGTCCACTTAAGCGACTCCAGTACTGGCTTGATAGCGCTCTATAAGATAAGTCACCTTCAGAGCACCTAGATAATAATAGAGTAGCCACTTAAGAAACCAGGAAAACAAGGTAACACATATTATAATGCCGTCGGCTTAATCTTGTCACCGGCTCAAACACCGCTGACTTGACTGTATGTTTCCTTGCTATTCTGTGGATCTTCTTCTATTTATATCTCTCTCTTTAGATACTAATAACTGTGTGGCAGGAGGATATATTAGGCCAGCGTGCTGTGCTGTTGTGCTATACTTGTTTTGCTGTGTGCTACTGCTATATGTTACTACTGTTTTGTTTTTCTTCTCATTAGACATAAGGGCATGTCGAGTCTTCTGAAAAGAGAGTAATGTTACAGCTGCCATGCTTGTCGCCTACTAGCGCTAGGGCGCCAGGTATTAATTAGCACTAGACATTAGTAAAGGGCATGCTTATTATATAGAAGTAACCCTAGGGCCTTCACCGTCGACTCTTCAGTCTTAGGATAGTACTCAACATAGGCTAAAGATCTCGCGTACTCGTCGCCTACTTCTAACGTAACACATAACAATTTACTCTAAATCTATGTCTTAAAATATAGTAAAAGTTTGTATAAACCTAAAGTTAAAAAAGTAAGATACTAAGTAAAGCAAAAAGAGACAAATTCTGAAACGTAATATAAGAAGCTAGCTCTAAGCCAAATAATATCTAGAAGATTATATAATAGGCAAAATAACGATCTTAGAACTAAACTATACAGGTCTTATTCCTAACTCTTAAGCAAGGCTTATACAAAGCAAGAGATATAGAGTCTAAAGCAAAACTATTATAAGATATAAGCTTTCCCCCTCCCTTAGAGGTCAACTTAAGTAATCTAGAAAACTTTTACTACCCTTTAGAAATCCCTTAATAAGAAGAGATTACAAAGGAAGAGATCCTTAGAATAACAAATCGTATAACAAAGGATAATGCCCTAGGACTAAATAAGCTCTTAAACCAAGTAATCTAATTAGTTATATAAGAAAAGATAACTCTAGTTAAGCGCTTCTTTTAAGTGTGCTTAGACTAAGAAGTTTAACTAGACTACTATAAAATAATATATATAGTAATACTTAAGAAACCAGGAAAAAGTAACTATATAAACCCGGGGGCATATAGATTAATAGCTCTTCTTAACACTATAAGAAAGATTCTAGAGGCAGTTATCTCAAACTAAATCAAATATATAGCTAAAGCATATAATCTGCTCTCTGATACTTAATATAGCGCATATATAGGTCGATCTACAGAAACAGCACTTTAATAAATTACAGAGAAAATTTATATAATCTGAGAAAGAGGGAAAAAAAAGATAGCTAGCCTCTTATTATTAGATGTCTCTAAAGTATTCGACAAAGTCTTATATGCTTAGCTCACTTATAACCTAAGAAAGAGAAAAATCCTAGAATCACTTATATAATAAGTGATAGATTTTCTCTTAAATTAATGTACAGAAGTAAAAGTTAATAATTTTACATTATCAGAAGCATTAGTAATAGTAGGAATCTGTTAGAGGGCTACCCAGAGGACAGGCGGGCAGTAGAGGGACTTTGATAAGATAGATGGATTCTAACTGGAATAGCTAAGCATAGGGTTCGCATGCGTGTCACATACGAGGAGCAGTGCGTAAGCAAGTGTGCAGTGGCAGCCTTCTATTCAACACGAGATAGAACGCTGGACCCTTTAGCTTTCTCAAGGGCCAGCTTATATCTACAAGCTGAGAGTCTCTCTTAGCTCTGATCTCAGATTTGCTAAGATCGGCAGTTGCTCAGATCGGAAGTTACCAAGTTGGTTCTGATCTGTACCAAGGGTCTCCCCCGATGTCAGACTAAGGTCACATCCTAACAATTGCTTCCCCCCTTAGAGGGCTCGACCTCAAGCCTATAGGCCGCCTCTGTAACCTGCTAAAGGTATGCACGCGTCTCGCGTGCGTATAGAGTACTTCCGCAGCTTATAGAGAGTCATATAAGTCATTACTTAAGAGAAAGGAGTATCTCTTTTCTTTTCTTTTAATGCCCTTTAGGCGTTAGATCTGGCATTTTGCTATTTGGAATAGCCTCCTGTATTATTTTATATATATAAAATAACATAAGCGTTATATTCTATTATACATATTTATTGTTACTTCTATTAAGGGAATAATTTTATTTACTAATTTCCGGATTAGGCAAGTTACTATTAATAGTAATAGTATTCTAATAAATAAGTAACTATATATAATTATGTTTGTTATGCGTTTCATATATAAACTATATAAATAAGGTTAGTATTAATATATTATTAGTAATAATCAGAATAAATAGTAATATTAGAAATAGTATTTTTATTATTTAGGGCGCTATTATTAATAGATAATAAATAATAGATATAGCTATTAATAAGATCTCTGTAGCCCTAAAGATATATTAATCTTCTTCTTACTAACGTGGTTCATAATATTACTACTATTTAGCAGTAGTAATAATAGCTATAATAATAATAGTAGCAATTATTATATATAAGTAGATAGATACTATATATATATAATATATAGCTAACATATATATCATTTTTAGCTGCTAAGCATAAAGCATATAAGTATAAATCTGTTATAATATCTATGCGTATTATATGCTTATCACGTGCGCTGTAGCACCAACTCCCTTAGAGAACCGCTCTACTAATTTTACTTGGCCTTAGTGCTAGTGTTACGTCCGCCGTCTTAAGCGTGAGCCTGAGACGGTTTTCTTTTATAAAATAAATGCTGGCAATAAGAAATATACTTATTGTTAAAGTAAGAAGCATGACTGTGTTCTGGTGAGTTTTCTAACGCGTCTTGCGTGCGTTGGCTATGCGTTTCCTGTGCTTTACGCCTGCACTTTTCCGTCTCCGGCGAAACTTATGCTAATTGTATGCGTAGTTACTACTAGCCCTCGCGTTAGCTATTGAGAATCTCTGCCGTTTCGCTCGCTAGGCGCGAGCTGGTCAAGCAGATATAAATAGCGTCAAGGAACGCGCTAAGACGATTTTAAATCGTCTTAAAAATGCTTCAACTCTTGTAGCGTCCGCGCTGCCCAACCTTCACACCTCCTCCTCCAAGCGTGCGCGTCCTCTTGCCGCGGGCTCCGGCCCTGACCTTTCCGGCATCGAAGCCAGTCTCACCCTTCTCACCCAGGCTATTCAGGTGCAGACCGAAGTTGCCGCTCAAGCTGTAAGCATCCCTTTCGCGTGTGTTTCGCAGGTGGCTAATATGCGTAGGCAAATATCGAGTTGCCGGTCTGGCGGGACCAGACCGAGGGCTGGGAGGAGGAAACTAATCCTCCTGAGTTGGTAGAGCTGTAGGCCCTAGAGGCTGCAGCTATTGCTGTACAGAATGCAGCAGCAGCTGCCGCTGCTCCTTCTGCTGCTGCTCCTCCTGCCACCGCTAGCGCTAGCGCTAGTGAGGATGAGAATAAGGACAAGAACAAGAATAAAGATAAAGATAGAGATAAAGAGTAAGCCTATTAGCTATGAGTTTCTATAGATAGTTGCTTTGTCTATACGTGCGCTTCTAGTAAGTTTACTATATAAATCGCATAAGTCCTGTTAGTCAGGCTATACTTTGTAAATTTTTTTATAGTAGCGCTAATTACCTTATTAAATCCCTTGCTAATCAGGGTTCAACTAAACTTCTTCCTATAGCTTTTTTGTGACCTGGTAACTCTGAAATGTCTTAAGCTCATCTTAAGCATTAGTTAAGTTCTCTTCTAGTTCCTAGGAATTATAATCCCTTATGAATCTTTTCTATTATACCAGATACATGCGTTTGCCCTGCGAAAGGCGTTTATCTAAAATAGTTTCTACTTTCTATTCTTCTTTGCCTTAGACCTTAACTACCTCTAATAGTTTTACTCTTTCTTAGTATTAGTAAGGTTTTAAGAGAGCTATATAGAAGGTAAGATAAATTCTTCTATAGCTCTTAAGTAGTTATAACTTATATATGTTCTTACCTAATACAGTAATTACCTTAAATAAGCTAAGATATTTATTTGTAAGCTTTTTGCTTGCTTTTCACATACAAATATACTATAAAGAGAGCATGACTTTGTTACCTATCTTGTAAGATCTGCCCTTCTTCTTCAGATCATAATACTTTGCTATTAACTCTTAAGTTCTAGCTTATATTTCCTTATCTTCTTAAATTACTCTTTTAAGCTATTCTGCTTTTTCTTTAGCTATTTAGCTTTCTCTCTTCTTAAAAGCAACTTTGCTAAGGGGCTTAATACAGAACTCTAGCTTAAATTAAAGGACTATATTAAAAGGCGCTTTTTTTGTAAACGTATTAATACTTTAATTATTTATATATTTGCTACTTAATAAGAGTTGAACCTAGTTGTCTTATTAATAATTAATATAATAACAAAGATAATATTTAAGCGTTTAATTTATCCTTTTTGTCTAGCTATTAATTTATAAGTAAAACATAATTAATAAGCACCTCTTTACTACTAGGTAGTAATAAAATATGCCTTAGTATTTTAATATAAATGTGGTCCTTCTATTACTAATAATAGACTTTAGCATTCTAAACTAGGAAAATACTACTTTTATTAGCTTTTTAGTAAGCTCTAGAGCATTAATTTCTGTTATATAGACTATATATTTGACTATTTTTAAATATTAGTCTATTATTATTAGTATTATATTATATACTTTTCCCTTACAAAGAGAAGGCGGTAAGCTTATAATAAAATCTATAGATATATCTTGCTATAATCTCTCTAGTTATAATAACAAAATAAGATAGCTATATAACTTATGCCTTAGAGCCTTTATTCTTTAGCAGATATTACATAAATATATATAGTCCTTTATAAACTGCGTTATTTATAGCTATTAATAGCTTCTCTATATAACTTCTTATGTTCTCTTTAGCCTGAAATGTCCCTTCTGCTATAAATTATTATAGTTAGCCTGCAGAATCTCTATTTTAGTAGCCTGGTCTTTAGGGATATAGACTAATCCCTTGCGTTAAACAAGACCCTATTAGTTAGTTATTTACCTACCCTGAAATGATCTTTCTTCTATCTGACTATTAGGAGAGTTCTTCCAGGCCCCCTGCTAGCAGAAGGCGTCCCTTGACTGTAGTGCGAGGAGGTGACTAGTAAAAACATCCAGGATAATGCTGTAGGGTAATGCTATAAAAGCTGCGTTTGCTTCTTCTCTTTAGGAGCTTTCTTCTCCCTCTGAAGAGATAATCTTTCTTCGCACGTGATTCGCATGCATATTATGTGCGTTACGCTGACCTTCTGTAGTAGGTCTTAGCAATATATTCTAATCTCTTGCTGTGCGGTCTATATGCTGTTTTAATGCGTTCCGTATAAGAACTCTTATAATTAGGAGGTTTCCTTTCTAAATATAATTAGTATTTAAGGACTCCTCTGTCCTTATTCTGCTTAGAATAAGGTCTCTAAGGGGATTCTCCTCCTCTTCTTTTATTATTACATAATTTGGCCTTCTTAAGGGCGTGTTAGCAGAGTTCTCTTTACTCTTATAATAAATAATAACGAAATTAAAAATAACTAATTTAATTATCTAGTATACTTAACATTTATTTAATACTTTTATTATTATAAATAATTGCAAATCATAATAATTATATAAGACTTACATAATAAATATAAATAATTCAAAATAATATCTTTAATATAAGAAGGATTCTATTATTATTAGTATTTCCTGATCTCTTATAATATAGTTTTTTTCTATAAAAATTAATTTCCTTAAGTAAAAGGTTACTAGCTTTTATACTAAGTATTTAGAGCCTATACTCTTATTATTAGGTTGCAAAAATATCCTTAATATTCCTATAATTAAAGTGTTAGATTTTATTTAATTAGGCTTCTTAGAATTAAAGTATTATAATAAAAGAGCGCTTATAAAGTACTCTTTAAGTATATAAAAAGCATTATTTGCTTTAATAGTCTAGATAAAAGGACTATGCTTTTTTCCCTTCTTTATTTCCTTTAGAAGATTAGTTATAAAGGTAACAATTACAGAATATCTAATAATAAATTATTAGTAAAAGTTAGTAAACTCTTTAAAGATCTGAATCTCTTAGTATATTATAAGAGTTAGCTAATCTATAATAGTAATAATCTTGCGTTTATCTATTAATATGCTTATGATTCCTATAATATACCTAAGAAACTCTACTTTCTAAACTAAGAAGAGATACTTTAACAGTTTAATATAAAGGTTAAACTTGCGTAACTTATTAAGAACTTCTTATATATGCTTTATGTACTTCTCTTCTTTTATACTATAGATTAAGATATCATCTTAATATGCTATATAAGAGATATCTAATAGCCCTTTTAACGACTTATTAATATAGGCTTAGAATATGGCCAGCGTATTTATTAACCTAAATAGCATAACTATATACTTAAAATGACTATAACGCGTATAAAACATAGTCTTTTACTAGTCCTCCTTCTTAATGTATATCCTATAATATGTATTACGAAGATCTAGCTTTGTAAAACGCCTTACTCCGCTTAGTTAATTAAGCGTTTCGTAGATTAAAGATAGCGGATACCTATTTTAGATAGTTACCTGATTTAGATTATAATAATTTATGTATAAGCGCAAGCTACTATCCTTCTTTAGGACAAATAGAATTAGAGCCCCTGCTAGGGACTTAGAGTAACGAATCCACCTCTTCTCTAGGCTACTCTTAAGGTATTTACATAAGACTCGTAGCTCCTTCACAGAGAGAGAGTAGATAGGCCTATAAGGGACTTCTGCTCCTTCTACTATAGGAATTAAGTGCTTTACATGTATAGCTTCTGGGAATTTTGATGTATTTTCTTCTGAGAAGACATCTGTATAGTCCTTATACTCCTTTAGTAACTGTATATTAATCATGTTAGTAGAGTTGAGCTTTATGTATACGTCTTATATGTTATTTGCAGAGTACAAGAATACTGTATAAATAAGGGCCCTGATTTTCTTGAGGTCAAATAACTCTGTTACATCTATCTTATAGACTATTCCACTCTTATAGTAGCTCTATTTGCGCCTTTTAAACTGACAATCAGGATCTACTTTATAGATCTATAGCCAACTAAGGATAGTATTATATCTCTTAATATTAATTATTATAAAGTTAACGTCAAAAGTATATAATTCTCTCTAAGAATCTGTGACTTCTGTCTTTACTATATACTTGCTATATACAATAATAGAATAGCTATCTATAGCCATTATACTAATAGATGTAGGATCAGCTTAGAAGCCTTCTTTAAATGCTACTTTTTGTAATAGAAAGTTTCCTTGCGCGCCTGTATTTAAGAGTACAAATAACGTACGAATACCATGCTCTCTATATAAGGCTAACTTGACCACTATATACTATAAGGAGTCTGCGTCTTTTAGGTCTCTTCCTAATGTTACTAATACTGCTATAACATTAGTATTTAGTTTTTTGAAAAGCTATTAAATAAGGGGGTCTTCCTCTTGTTAGAGCGCTTAAGCTTCTTGTAGTCCCTAGCTAGATGACCTAGCTTATTACAATTATAACAAATTACACTATTTCAGGAAGACTTGCCCTTTTAAGAATAGTCCCTTTTCTTAGTAGGTGCCTTTCTACCTAACTAGCTACAAAACCCATGCGTTTTATGTACAGATAACCTGCTAAAAGAGCTATTAGCTTGTTTAGAGTAATACTTGCCTTTCTTCTAGCCCTTATTCTGCTGCATTAATTCCTCTTAATACTGTATAGCAGTAATAACCTACTTACAAAATATAATAGTTTTATTCTTTTGTAAGACTTCTTTATATATATTAGTATTAAGGCAATTAAGTAAGATCTAAGCCTTCTCTTTATTCTTTGTTATAAGGGGCACGTCTTTTTCTAGTTCCTTAATAACTTATATAAGTTCTTATATAACTTAATTAGGTCGTTATTCCACCTTCTTAAGTTGCATTAGTGCGTAATATATATAGTTTATAAGGTTAATAACTAGGTCTTGGTACTACTTAATGTACTTTGGCTAAGTATTAATAGTAGTATTCTTTGGATTCTATGTGTCTTACGCACATTCTAGTAAATAAGTAGCTGCATATGCTATAAACTCTTTATTAGTCTTAGGTGGAATAGCTTAGATATAGATATCCTAGCCTGCTTTGTAGTCTGCTACCTCTTTAAGGCTTCTGCCTTTGAAATAAGGTGGTTTAGCAGGATGAAGAAGGGGTGCTAGAGAAGCACTAGGAGGATCAGAGGAGGCGGCCTGTTTTAGACGATAAGCAATGCTTACAATCTCTATATGTTCAGCAGGCGTTCCGCCTGCGAGCTCCTCTTCCAATACAACAATTACTTCTTTGATTCTTTTCTGGCGGACTTGGTCTCGGATGCGCTTATAGCGTTCATTAAGAGTCTCCTGTTGCACGTCATCATTAGGATGCGCTTATAGCGTTCATTAAGAGTCTCCTGTTGCACGTCATCATTACTAGAG